TGACCCCTCTGTCATGATATGTATCGTATCACCAAATTCTTGCCAATACACAGCCCTAGACTCTACATCACATTAGTGTACTGATTTAAAACATTAAGTGTGTTGCTTTTTTGTGTTATTTTTGTGTGTCCACAGTGAGAAAGTGCAGGGCTTGTGTTACGCCTCACACACCCGCCAGCTCATCTCCTGCAGCTCAGATGGAAGCATCGTCATCTGGAACATGGATGTAACTCGACAGGAGGTGATCAGCAGCAGATTGTGGAGTAAAACATGAATTTCTCTGTAGGAGTAGATCCATGAAGGCTCACCTGTTTAACAGTCAGAGTTTAGCTTCATCTCCTCCTCCTGCTGCTGCTCTCCACACGGCTAACTGGGGCCTAATTGCTTCTTTATTTAATGAAACACTTTCATTCTGCCTTCAGTTCTCGACCCAAATGCTCCTCAGCTCAGTTTTCTGAGTCATTGCTCTTGTTGACACTGACTTCCCACAAGGTGAGCTTAAAAAAAAAGATCAGAGAGCTGCTGCACTTCAACAGACTCACTGCTGGAATACCAAACATTTGACTCTGCAGCGAGTTGAACTGAGCAGCAGGAAAACTAAAAACACACAGCTTTGGTTAGTTTTTATTCCCCAAGTGCCACATGAATAATATGTAAGGGTTTAAAACTTCTCTTTGTGACAGTTATTTGAAATGACTGACCATGTTGTGATACAAAGAAGAGTTGTCAGAATTAAAGGGATGGTAATGAAAGTTTATTTCTGACTGGACTGACCAGCTAATGGCTAAACTGAGTGGAGATGAGACTAATGTAGATCGCTGCCTTTTTAAAACGGTTATCAGGACAGATCTATTGCTCAGGGCCCGTATTTATAAAACTTCTYAGAGTGGATTTTTAGACTTAAGTGCTGAAAATTTCTTAGATTTCCTCCTACTCTCAGACTTAAGTGTAAGTGCCAGTTATCAAAATTCTTAAGTCAAAGAATCACTCTTACTCTCCTGAAAAGTTCAGACTGCTCCAGAGGACTCAAGTGGTTCAGAGTTGCCACTAGAGGTCTGAGATGGACTGAAGACAGAGATTACAGCTGTCCTCCTCCCCACCTGACTGTTATTCTCTGTTATAATGTGGAAAACAGGTTTAATCGGAAATATACAAAAGAAACAAAGGTAAAATTAAAAAAACTGTGCATAATGTTGGACTAAAA